AGTTTCAGGTCAGCCTGGGCAAGTTAGCCAGAGCCTCTCTAAAAATAGAATTAAAAGAGCTGGCGGGGGGGTGGGGGTGGTGGTGTAGCTTAGTGATAGAGTACTTGCCTTTTATGAGCAAGACCCTGAGTTCAATCCCCAGTACTACAAAAAACAAAACAAAACAAAACAAAACTGTTATGAAACCTGTGTTTTCTCTTATACTATAATTAAAGACACAACAAAAATGCTCCCCACTTTTAAATTAGGGACTGAACCTAGGGGCACTTTACCACTGAGCTACAATCTCAGTCCTTTTTATTTTTTATTTTTTTATTTTAAGATAGGGTCTCACTCAGTTGCTGAGGGTCTCTCTCAATTGCTGAGGCTGACCTCAAACTTGCTATTTTCCTGCCTCAGCCTCTTGAGTCACTAGGTTTATAGGAGGAGTGTGCCACTGCACCAGCAAAAATATATTTTTATATTGTAATTTTATACTTACAATATAAAAATATATTTTTATATTTGTAAATTTTCACTGAAATCTTTTTTAGCAAATAATGCTTTTGTATACCTGTTTAAAGAAGTGACCCACATTACATTTCTTAATATTTTTTCCTACCACTTGGCCTAATCTTATCCCTATTAATGGCCTTTAGTTTTAAGTATGATGAAACTTTAGTTTTCAAAAAGATCTATTATTAGATATTTCATTCTTTATTTACGACAAAATCATCAAATTGGTTTGCTAACATATTTTAATGCAGTTCAGTCAGAAAACTTTCAATTCTTTGAACAGATAAAATTTAAACTTACTAATATTAAATTTACTCTTAAGTGTTTAATGTTAGTTTCTATAAAAGCAAACCTTTCAGAGCAATAGCAGGAAATAAGCGAGGAAAAGGTCTAGGCAGGAGTGAAGCTTCTGCAACATTTTGTTATGTTAGTCATTACCTTAATATGTATACACACACACACACACACACACACATACATACATAATGGTGCTGGGGATTGAACCCTGGATCTTGTGCATGTGAGGCAAGCACTCTGCCAACTGAACTATATCCCGAGCCTTAATATGTTGTATTTTGATAAACCACCTTAAGGGTAAAATAGAACAGGGCAGTATATTATACAAAGATATTAGTGGGTGTTATGCAAAAAAGAAAGGTTCCATGGAAATAACTTTTGAGATGCTGAGATAAACAGTGAACATATTTCTTGCCTATAGAATTCCTCAGAGTCTTTTAAATATGTCAGTGGATACTGTGAAACTCCCAAGGAGAAGATAATCTGTAACTTTTCCCAAATACTACTTGTCTGGTATATCAACAGTAGGGACCTGTGTTCCATAGAATGCATTTTGGGAAACCTTGAAAAGGAAAATTAGTACTTTCACTAAAAACTCTTGATTTTATTTATGTTACAGTTGTTTAGATTTTTTTGAAGGCTGATGTTATTAAAGTCTCGATGTGGTATGAATTCACATATTTATATCAGCAAGCTTTGTGTTTGATTTTGCTTTATTCCTAAAAAGATTTTACCTTTGGAGATAAACACTTATACAGAACAGATTTCTGATTTAAAAGATAAAATTTGAGAAGATACAGAATTCAGCCCAAAGTAGGTGTCCAGGTCCTCAGGAGAGCTTCCATAGGAATACATACTTAAAAAAGAAACTAAAGAAAAACTATTTTTGTATTTTCTCTTATAAATGCTATGGAAGAGAACATTGCATTGTGAGCTATGAGATAACTAAACCTTTCAAGCCAAAGATCATAGACCAGGACCCACAGGGTAGATCTGGCACTTTGTTTCACTTATACAGTGATTTTTAACCATTGAATTAGTTCCCAACATTTTAGAATCTTGATGTTTCACATAAAAATATAGCCACTCTTTAAGAAAAAGGACAACATTCTCATAAAAGGTAGCTACTTGCTGGAGCTCAGAAGTGCCTGGTTCCATCAGGAGAGGTTTCCTTCAGTGTATCACTGCCTGTCTGCTAACAGTGTCCTGGTGACATGGTGCATTTATTCTACAGACTTTGAGCTTGTGTTGTAATGACATAGCATGGCCAAAGGGTATGTGCCTCCCAAATGATATAGCAGCACCTCTTCCTAAAGTCACCTTTATAAACAAATGTGATTGGGTTGCTCCAAGAAGGATTGTTGGGATTCTGTTAGCTTCATTTAGGGGACTCTTCACTATTTCTGCATGTCCCCAGAATGCTGAGTCTTTTACTGTGTAGAGTAGGGCCTCTTTGACAACACACTGGATGAGTCACTTCAAACATATACACATACAGAGCTGTCCCTATGTATATAAAAGTTGTGTGGCTGGGGAAAATTTATATTGAATTAGGACAAAGTTCTAACTTCATTCATTTTCAAAAATGATTATTGAAGAAAAAATATAATTGAAAAGCAGTTCTTTTATTTATACTTAGCCTTTTCATAGAATATTTGTATCAGCTTATGAAGTATATGATGTTATAATACAGAAATAGACATAGAAATCAGGATCATGCTGGGAATGTAGGTCAGTGGTAGAGCTCTTGTCTGGCCTGTCCAAGGCCTTGGGTTCAATTCCCAGAATCAGCAAAAATAAAATAAAAATCAGGATCAGAAAGTATATCCACAGAGTAAGTCCAGATGAGACATTTGTATCTGGCCCTGAGGTCTAAAGCTAAACCTAAGAAGATGGAGAAATATGCCTTATGAAAAAAAAATTCTTTTTCAGAGAGAAACCCCAGTGTAAGTGGAACTTCTTAAGTCTTAAGTACTTTTTAAGTACCACCTTGTTACTTTTGCATAGTGCGTGTACAGAGGGTGCTCATGTTGGCCTGTGCTGACATTTTTCTAGTTCTGTAGAAGTGCCAGCTTTTGAGCAACAGTTTTCTGGTAGCAGCTGGGAAATACAAGTTTTGTGACTATGGTTAATAAGCACTGTGTCCTGAGCCCTCTTGCTGTATTTTATCTAATCTGTAATACCAAGAATATGGTAGAGGAAAAGGTTGTGTGTGATGTGATGAAGTGAGGGTGGAGGGAGGGAGTGTGGGGGGAGAAAAGGCAGTGATGGAGCTCTCAGCAGGAAGGTGTGAGATCTTCTGCAGGGTTCCTTTGAACAGTGGCAACCTATTGCTATTACAAAAGAGTATGGTTTGATTAATGAAAACAGATCACTATGGATACCCCACAGCAACTGTTTGTTTGTTTGTTTGTTTTTGCTGTGGGGTGGGATGTAATGGGGACTGAACTCAGGGATGCTCAACCATTGAGTCACATCCCCAGCCCTATTTTTTATTTTATTTAGAGACAGGGTCTCACTGAATTGCTTTGCAGCCTTGCTTTTGCTGAGGCTGGCTTTGAACTCACCATCTTCCTGTTTTAGCCTCCTCAGCTACTGGGATTAAGGCATACACCACCATGCCTGGCTGTTTTCATTTTCCAAACAAAGTGATCCATGACCAGCTGAATACAGTGGTGTGTTCTTACAGTCCCAGCTACTTGGGAGGCTAGGGCAGTAGGATCACTTGAGTCCACAAGTTCAAAATCAGCCTGGGCAACTTATCAAGACTTTGTCTCAAAAAAAGGCAGGGGGGGTAGTCCATGACAAATCTCAATTAGCATAAGGTAATTGGAATCACCTAACTGGGTCCCGAAGTTGCTTAACTGCTTTATTAAGAATAAGACTAGAAGAAGAGGGGATTCTTTGTAGAAAAAGATAACACTCTTTTCCTTTAATCTGTGATATTGGAATTGTTTTTGTAGTGCCAGGAAATTATCATGTTTTTAATTAAAAATTAGTAATGGGTCCTTATGAAGACATTTAAAGTGATGTTTTATAATGCTGGTGAATCTGCCTTTGTGGTAAATATCAAGGGAATGATGATTTAGCCAAACACCAAATTTTACAAGGAAAGAGCTGGATTTTTTTCTTTTCATTTCATGCAATAAAGATGGAACAAATGTTTGAATGTTAAGAAAATTGCAGACAGGTCCAGGTTTTCAGTCTAAGGAAGAAATTAAGCTTTTGTGGCTTCTGACTGACTGGTAAGGGCAAAAATGTCATAAAAAGCAAAATATTGGGTGAGGGTGAATTGACTAGCTTCTTAAGGGATGTATAGACTGTTTCCAAAGAGCAATGCCAGTTTTAGAGTGAATACAAGGCATTTTGAAAGTGTAATTGGCAAGCTGAGCACAGTGATGCACTCCTGTTATCCCAGCTAGGTTGAATCACAAATTTGAGGCAACTTAGTGAGACCCTATCTCAAAATAAAAATAGCTGAGTGTATATCTCATTGGTAGAACTCTTGCCTAGGATGTGCAAGGTCCTGGGTTCATTCCCCAGAACAAAAAAAAAAAAAAAAAAGAAAAGAAAGAAAAAGAAAAAAGAAAGAAAAGAACTGTGTAAATCTTGTTTAGCAAAATCAAGTAAATTAATCAAAATTGGATGACGCTCTACATGCTTCATGTTTGATATCTCTGATAATTCCTTGCTAACTTGATGAGTGTTAATCTAAGTTAAATCATGTTGCTAAAAGATAAGTACTTTAAATTTGGGAGGTTGATAAGAATTAAAAAGCCAGACATAGAGATAATACTTAGAAAATATTTCTAATACACCTGTTCCCTTCCTTTTAAATGGGCTCTTAAAAAGCTAAATGGTGTACTGTGACAGGTTGTAAAGAGACTATGATATGTTAAAAATGAATCTGGTTCAAAACCCAAAACCTGCCAAAAGGCTGCCTTTAAAAACCAAAAAAAAAAAAAAAAAAAAAAGAAATCACCCATGGTTTTCTGAAGGTTTCCTGGTATGTGTCTGGAATGTTGAATAACTTCCCCAAGCGTTCTACATAAAGTCACTTCCTGCAAATTACCTTAACTAATTAACTGGATTTTGTTTGGGTCCTGTATGTTGTAAAATAAACAGATATGGGTTTGTCTTTAGTCATCTTATTTTCATTTGGGGTTGATGGAAATGAAGTAAGGACCAAGTAAACGACTTTTTTTCAGGTGCAAATTCGACCATGGAACCTAAGTGACAGTGACTTTGTAATGGATGGTTCTCAGCCTTTGGACCCCAGAAAAACTATCTTTGTTGGGGGAGTTCCACGACCCCTTCGAGCTGGTGAGTGGAAATAGTAACACCACAACAACAAAACCAACAACAAAATCCCCAATGTATTTCATCCTAACAATGTTCTAGGTTTCCAGTCAGCTCTATACAATCTCCAAGAGAAGGCTGTCATGTTGTTTTTCACTGAGCTGATTTTTTCACAATTATTTTCTCCCCAAATTCTTTATTTTTTTTATGGTGCAAGGGTGAATTTCATTAAACCATCATGTTTCCTATTTAACTATGTTTAAAATATATATATGTATAAAAATACATATATATGTATATATTTGCAGGGTAACATTCTTATGACAGTTTGCATTGCTATGTGTGACAGAAAAAGAAGTCACCCATCAGAAATCTGTCCAGTGTGTCTGTGTGCCTACTCAGTGATGAGCCAGACCACTGCTGGAAATAATATTCCTGAGAATCAAACTGAATTCTTCCCAAGTGAGATAGATTCCTATTTTTGCTCGTGGACTACAAGAAATGAATTATGGACTTTGGCATTTTTGTTATAACTTTATAAAAGCCTCCCTATTTTTTAAAAATTGTTTCTAATGATGTGATAAACTGTGCTGCTGAGATTGAGCAGAATCATAATTGCCTAAGAGCTTGAAGTGATGTGAACTGAAGACTTTAATATTTATTAAATCCAATGACAAATCTAAGTAGCTGTACATCAGCCTCCTGATAATCAATATTATTGCCAATGGGATATAATAAATTTATTTCTAAGACTAAGTTTTTAGAGCACATAGAATAAATGAATTTAAAAAAAAAAAGCCAAAAATACAAGGTTCCATTGCCCCTACAGTTGCAGAAACACATTATTTCTGTGTTATTTGTAAGTAAGTAGACTTAGTTCTACCTAAAATATAAAACAAAAAGCAAATCATTAAAATTAAGTCATGGAAACAGAAATGTAAAAGATAACCTATAGTATTTGGTTCTCTGACTTTGATGACTAATTTTGAAAGTTTCTGAACATTTCCAACATAATTATTCAAATTCCAATTCCAGTTCACACCTAAAAGATAACTTTAGACCTATGTAAAGATATATTCATAATTCCATTTTGAAGGAATTTAAAGTTATAATTATGACTATAGAGTTTATGATTTTATACTATTTCAGAAAGTCAAATAATTGTTGAGTCTTACTTCATTCTAATGGAAAACTGTGCCAAAACAAAGAAAGCAAAGCAGCAAAGATGGCCCCTCTGTATCTGCTATAAAGAATAACGTCTAGGAAGAACAGGCTCACTTGGGAACTGCAGTCCTTAGTTTCTAACTTAAATGTGCACTTTAAAAAAAAAATTATGAATGGTCGTGTTGTGGAATATTCCTGACTTTTTCTAATGGATGTTATATTTAGAAATGGAGAGGAATAAAATATTTTTTTGGTATTCTTTTAAATGCATATGTATTCTACAAATGGACTTTCATTGCTAATATTCTTGGTATTCCTTTTTGCAACTAACTACAGGTATAAATTTAATATTCTAGTCCCTCTCCTCCTTTCTTAGATGGGAATCTGGAAAAAATATTCTGAAAGAAAAAGACCTACAATTACAAGTTAACAAAATGGAATTTAACTCCTACATCTATGTTTAAGTCATAGAAACTCCAGTTTATAAACTAAATTCCCTTTTATATTACTCATCCTTTATTCGGTCGGTTTGAATGATTTGGAAGGGTAGATATATCATTTTTCCTCCATAAATTCTATGAAGATGCATTTTCACATTTGCTCTATATCATTTTTCCTCCATAAATCCTATGAAGATGCATTTTTCACATTTGCTGTACTATCTCTCTGTCACCAAGACACAAAATTATATTCTTTAACATTTAGTGTCTGCAAGATGCTACAAGTTCTAGGACTAGACAAGAAATATATTTAGTTACATAGTCAGACAGGGGATTTGTGGGTTTTGCCTAGAGAAAAGTATACCTTAAAGTCTGTAAGTCTTGAGGTTCTCTTTTTTTTTAAACTAGAATTTTTTTTTTTTTTGCCATAAAATTATTTTGCTTTCGTAGTTATTTGGGTATAATCTAAAAATCACTTAATCTAGTGGAAATGTTCCCCCCTTGCCAAAAAATTCCATAAATGCAGCAAGTTTCCAAGTGGCTAGATCATCTATATTAGTGTCCTATATTTTACTGTCTCCCAGAATTTCCAGATTAGAAGCCATGTGATCTAAACAAAAGAGTTATTATCTGTAGCTTTTATTCATGTGCATAGAGTTATGTTTCTTTGCAGCACACTGAGTTTTGTGGACTCTTGGAATAGAAGGCTATTTTTAAAGGAATTCAATTTGACTTTGCTATAAAATCTTAAATCAGGTACAATGCAGTTGACTTGAACAATAAACATTTATTAAACATCCACTGACAAACAAGCAAGTTGCATGTCATACCAAACTGAATGAACATCCCATCATCATGTTAAACAGGTCATCATACTTACAGAGTCAAAGATTTCAGAACAGAATAAACAATAAATGCATCAATAGAATGCTAATTTAGGATTAATGGGAGGCTGATTTATATTCTTTGACATAATGATTCTTAGATCTTGTTTGAAGTACTTCAGTACACTTTTTATTACTTCCAAGAGGTATTGTAGTAATAAAATTCTAAAGTCTTAAAACTATTTTAGGCACTAAATCAACGAAACAGATGAGATTTTTTAGATGTTAACATGGATTTTCACTTTATCCTGGCCCCAAAATTGTCCTTTACCAAGTCAGAGTGACTCAAATGTTATTACTCCAGAGTTATTCCTTTGGATTACGGGAGGATTTTTGTTAGTTTGTTTTTGTTTTTAATCTTTGAAATTTCCCCACTGTAAGTCCAGGAACCTTCATCACTAATAGTTATTCTAAATACAGCCTTTATCCCTCCAAACAGAAACTATAAACAGAAATACAGGAACAAGGCAACCTGTTTCAAGCAGTATTGTCCTGACCGAGTTTAGGTTATATCTTCTGGTCCTTTCACCAGCCCTCCTTTTTAAAATTAAGGTTTTGGGAAAAAAGCACAAGTCTAGAAAAATTAACCAGAAAATGGGAAAATATCAAAGGAAAAATCTAGATTTAGATGAGTTTTCTTATCACCTTTGATGAATTTCTCTAGGTCATATAATATATGTTCTTATCATCTCATCTGTCAGTGACTGTAGCAAGGCAAAGATGAAGTATAGTGTTCCTTAGATCTTTATTTCTCTGTATGTATGCCCTACCTCATCTCATCTCCCTGCTGGGAAAGGCTGTACGTAGACCCACCATGCCACCTTGTGGTTAAAATTTTTACATTCTTTGGAGAGTTGGTACAGGGAAATGGTGCTCTACCTGCTGCCACCTGGAAGTAGTGCACATTGCCACTCTCCATTCAAGTAATATGAGCAGTGTGTCTTCCTGAATGTCCATGAGAAATAGCCCTGTTGCATAACCACATGGCATTAAGACCTCTCTAAAGGCACACCTCAGCTGGGGGTCATGAGGAGACCATCAGGATAAGGAGAGAATCAAATATCTAGTCCCCACATACTCCCCCAGTTTATTAACGTGTTTCTCTGATTCCAGCTTCTTGGCTTAAGCATCTGATTTGAGGACTGCTTTAGTGACCAGGCTTTGTGATCAACCCACTCCTGACCTTGACCAGGCTTGAAAAGCCCTTGTTCTTTCTAATCAGAGGCATGTGAGCTGTTCTTTCACTTCACGGCTTCCTTCCAACATTTTTTTGGACTAGGCCCTTCAGAACAAATCAATCTTGAAAGATGGCTTATCTGAACCCTTGGAACCTACCATTTGCTTGATCATCCTTGGATCTCCTATCTTTCCTGACTATTATTCTGATAATTGTTTTCTTTCTTTTTTTGCCCTACTAATATTCTTTGATGGATTCTGAAATTTCCTTCTCTAAGCTCCCCTCCCTTACTCTATTATGAGGATAGCTTTTCTGTGGGATGTTTTTTGTTTTGAGGAGCTGGGTCTCATGCATGCTAGACAATCCCTATTCCTAGCCCTGGGAGGTAAAACCTTCTGAGGTAAATATTCAGTGATACATGTCATATATGGGGAGAATATGTAGCATGAATTTTTCTAAGATTATTGATTCCACACATTCTGTATAAACATTACCTAATTCATATGAATTGGGAAGCATCCCAATTTGTGATTTAGGAAAGTAACCATGCTTTTTGTTGTTGTTGTTCTGTGAAGTAGTAGCAAGCCAAAATCATCCTGTATCAAATTTCTCAACAGCAGAATTTTTTTTTTTTACCTAGTCCAAAGTTTGGTATGAAATGTCCCAAATAAACTCCAGATTTAACTCACTGGTTCAATTAGCTGCATTTGTCTGTAGGGCTAAGGACTTTTAATATTAGTATGTGGTTTTGCTCTTCCCTTACCCAGGGCTGCTGTCAAACTTTGCCATATTAGTGACGGATTGAGAAATATTAGCATAAAGCCAAAGTAAAGCTGGGGTATGGATTGCTTTTTATGGCACAGAAACCAGGCCAGCTTGATGTTAAGCAAAGATTTATGAGTTGAGGGGAAAACAGCCTCTGGACAAAACTAAACATTGGAGCATCAGTCTACTAGGCAGTGTGCCTCAAGCTCTCCTTTATTTTTAATCTTCATGATAATTCCATGAGATTGTAAGCCGTGGACTTTGCGTTTTAGAGATGAGAAAGAGTTCACATGGAATAATTGGTCTAATGTCACAATAAGTGAAAAAGATAAGAGTCATTCTTTAGCTTTCCACACTTCAAATTACGGGTTCTTTGTACAGAAGGAAGCTGCTTTAGCAAGCTGAGATCTGGGATATTGTCTCAGTAACAGTCACCTTGGTATCAGTTAGATTTAGTCTAGTTAAGCATTCTTTGTTTGACTTGGTTGTTCCTACCATCTGTTTAAAACTATTAACTTCCTAACATCTGATGCAGAATAGAAGCATCTGAGCACGTTTCCTTTTTTTGATGCATGTGAACTGTTCTTGTGAACCAATCCAGGAACTGTGGGAAATTTAGAAAGTTCCACTGGTCAAGTTCAATCTTCCTTTGTTTCAGAACTTCATACATCTTTGTCATCCTGAGGTACCCTGTGCCTCTTTGCCATGTGTGCTGTCCTTATTTCCAAAATGAAGAAATGGGGCTTCTAGATTCAGTTTAGAATGTGTTGATATTTCCCTGGGAAACCTTGGGTTCTCTGCCACTCCATTTGGCTCTCAGTGTCTCAGACTGGGCTTAAACTGTAATTAAATGATAAGAAATGACCCTGGGGTAGAACAGACTGGAGGAATTATGTTTTCTTCTCTGGTGAGTGAGGTCCTTTTCCATATTTCTGAAGGATCAGGAGCAAGTCCGAGAAATTATAATTGCGTTCAGATTCAACTTCAGAGCAGTCACAACCCAGAAGAACTTGTGGGGATGTGGTTTGCTCTACACAGCTGTAGTATTCTTGTTTCCTTCTTTAGTTTATGGCACAAGGAAGCTCATCACAAGAGCTACTGTGTGGATTAAACCCATAGTTGTGTTGCTGCTACCGTGGAAGTTGGTCATGAGATGACTTGAGTTGACTTATGAGTATGGAGCTTTTGGTCCAAAGTATAGTGTGTCCTTGGACATGATTGCCACACCTGCCAATTTCCCATCCCTGTGGTGATCAGACCCTGAGAACACTGTCTAGATGGGAAGGAAAAATTGAAAAGTGGTTTGGAGAGTCCTGACTTCTTCATGGACCCTGCTTTTTGTCACCTCTGTGTGTACTCCAGACCTCTTCATCTGCATGCCCAGTATGATTTGGTACCCTCATATTCTTGGGGTAAATGTTAATAACATGCTCCTGGGTGCTACTCTTTCTCTTCCATCTACAGAAAGTGAGGATTTATTTATAGTGAGAATTCACTGTCACAGACTTAGTGACTTTACTAAAGTCCCATTAACACACATCTTTGGGCTGGGGATGTAGCTTGGTGGTAGAGTACTTTCCTAGCTTATCCAAGACCCTGGTTCAATTCCCAGTACTTGAGGAAAAAAAGAAGTTGTTACTTCCTTTATCAAGGACTCAGATTTCATGAGCAGGGTTGAGCTGAACCCGTGAAGATTTTACGTGACTCTTGATAGACCGTTTTGCTTTCCTTCTGTTTTTCTCTCCACCTCCCAACTAGTCTTCTCATGTCTCTTGTCTTCCCATCAGAGGGAGACGACTTTCCTATATTAACTAATGATTGTTACTCTAAAGAAGCCTTTAAAATCTAGCTTCTGAAAGTAGCTGTACATTCTGACATTTGTTGGTAACTTTATACCTTCTATTAAAAAGAAGAAAAGTCTCAGGTTGGACATTTGTAGGACTTGAGGAAGGTTTGCTCTGTGTTTTCATCAGTTGCATACATTAGTGGATGGATTAAAGTAGCTCTTTTTAAAATGCTGTTTTTATAGCATTAGAAATATTGAAAAAAAAACATGCTTATAATCCCAGTAGCTCAGGAGGCTGAGGCAGGAGGATCGCAAGTTCAAAGCCAGCCTCAGCAAAAGTGAGGCACTAAACAACTCAGTGAGACCCTGTCTCTAAATAATATACAAAATAGGGCTATAGATGTGGCTCAGTGGTCGAGTGCCACTGAGTTCAATCCCTGGTACTCGCCCCCCCCTCCAAAAAAAAAGAAGTATTGGAAAAAGGTGTCACTTATTGGAAAATTGCTTTCTCAAAACTAGAAACACTGTTTAGTACTTAAATTATATCCCTCTTATGTTCGAACCTAGAACGAAATCAGTCTGCAGTAAGTGCTGAGTAAAGACTTACTAGTCAAATATAAGACCAAATATAAACAGCAGTTGTTTGACTGTTATTTACTTTTTCTTCAAGAGTGATGAGAATATTAGACTTTCTATAGTTAAAATACAGATTAAGGTAGAGAAAGGGAAATTTTCATGATCTCGTCCATAAAACTCTTCCTTTAGTCAATTTGGGTTCTTCTAGTTTTTCAACAAATTATCCTTCCCTTAAGTGAGACATTATTGGCTCATATGTCTGCAGACTTTTTGCTGGCCAAGAGAATGACTGTATATATATAAACTCATAAATGGAAATAATTTTTTTATAATCAGTTTTCGTAAAAGCATAACTGCATGAACATTTCTGCTCCCTTTCAAAAGTACTTAACTGCCAGCAGCATCAGTCATGATGTAATGTTTGGCACATGAAGAAGATTTTCTAGCAGGTAGAGTCACAAATAATGGAACGTTTATGCCTGTGGAAGGTGCCTTCTCTGTCATCAGAGGATCCCTAAGATTCTTTTGGAAACCACTAAGGTGTAGAAGGACTTGTGGTTACAGAAACTGTCCTCCTTAACTGGAGTTTCAAGGTTACCACAAATGTGCCTTCTTATCAGATGCCTTCTTGTGTCCTTCATATTGTGGAAGACATATGTCATTTAGTCCCCTGACAACATTCTTTTCCCGGATACTCATGAGGCTTGGGAAGTGTTCCCTCCCTTATTCTATTCCATGGGAAACCCTGTCTTCAGAATATTAGAATTTAATTTCCAGGGCCCATTCCACCAATAAGGGAAATTCACTAATGACTGCAATTGAGAATTTAACCTACTTTGAATTTCTTGGTCTCTGTTATGGGACTAACATTAGCTATATGAGGAAAAGCTTAAGTCATCAGAGATTGTTGGGATGCAGTGTGAATAACCATTGAACTTTGGTATTCAGGGTTTGGGTACAATTCTTGTTGCATCATCCAAATGAATGGGATTCCAGGATCCTTCCCAGACTTCAATAGAGTCCACTTGGCTCTAATTCAGTGCTCCCTTGACTGATATGATTCAGTAATTCTGACTATAATAGGATAATTGGGATGACTTTCTGCTGCTCTATCTTTAATAGCACTCCCTCTTAGGCTTAGTTATTGCTAGCTTAGTTTCTTCCTTGAAAATTGCCTGTTGGTTACAGGTTATTCTTCCTATTAAAAATAGACACTTAGAAAGTCGTCACCAATATAAGCAGTTTGATATGGAAAGAAATTTCAAAGAAGTAAAAAGATAGCTTTTCTGATATGATGACACAGTTTTTCTTACCATCTCAACAGTCTTGAATTAGAGGAACCAGTAATACTTGGCTCTCCTTCTATTTGTAGAAATCTTGAGGCAGGGAAGTTCTTACACCGTTCTGCCCTTTAATCTGCTGCAGAACTCTCCCCCCATCCCACCAGCTTATGGAACTTTCCTTCTCCCCAGATACTGATTTTTGTGGAGCTCTCCTGTGGCTTTTGCACAAAGGCTGTAGCCCAGGTCATCCTCTATTTTCCCTATCTTCTCCTTTTCAAATACCATATACAGGTATTGGAGGGAAATGGGTGTTTGGGTCACTTCCCAAGGGTAGAGCTGAGTCTTTTGGATTTATGCTATGGCCTGAAAAGAATGGTCATACCTGGAGGAGGTGCTATCCAGTATAAATCAAGTAAACAATTATCTTCAGGCAGTTTAGGATGCAGGTAAGTGTTACATGTCTCTCCATGATACCTGTATGGTGGAGATAACTTTGGAATGGTCCATTTTCTAAATTTCTTCTCTAAAAGTGTTTTGTAAATATACCAATACAAAGGCAAGAAATGTGGCAAGGAGAGCAGATCAGACCTTTGGACCTATAGCAAGGTACAAGATTGGCATGTTTTTACTCCTCATGTAGCAGTTCAGTGCTTCCTAAAGCTAAATGCTCAATAAATGTTCATTGCTTCTATTGTCATTATTAGTATTATTATTTAGACTTTTATGTGAGAGGTTATCAGTTCAAATGAAATATACCCTAAATAAAAATAGAGACTTGCTTTAAATCTGTAAACTTAATGTCTTTAGTTAAAATGAGGAGTTGATTCTTTCTGTATCTTAGTCTTAGTATAGCAGTGTGATATTCACAAGTGCTTTCAGTCTAAGAGATCAGTAAATAGAACTTTTTCTTTATAACTTGTTATGGTATCATGACATATTTTGCCTACTTGGGGCCTATTCCAGATACTAAGCTGTTAGAAATTAGAACAGGATTACTGATAGATCAATCCTTCTATATTGTAGCTTTAAGTTCTGATTATGTAAACTCTATGTGTATAATTTTTTTTCCATTTTATTTTAAAATATCCTGTGAGTAGCTTCCCTACTTGAGTTGTAAGACTAATGTGGACATTTTTCATGATGCTTAGCATGGGTTTTCCTTTTCTTAATTACATTGCATGTTCCTTCCTGGGTGAGAGTACTTTCCAAATATTTATACAAGCCCTGTTTATTTTCTTGCAGTTGAGTTGGCAATGATCATGGACCGTTTGTACGGTGGTGTCTGCTATGCTGGCATTGATACAGACCCAGAGCTGAAGTACCCCAAAGGTGCTGGCCGTGTGGCGTTCTCCAATCAGCAGAGTTACATCGCAGCCATCAGTGCACGTTTTGTGCAGCTTCAACACAATGACATTGACAAACGGGTAAGCAACCACTAAGGGTGGAGTTGCTATGGGAAAGAAATGAAGATTGTTCTGTGAGTCTCTGGGAAGAAAAGCACCTGGTGGTCATAAGTAGCAGCTCTACCTTGCATGGCATTGCTCTGTGAGTCCATCTAGGCTGCCTAAGAAAGAAAGCCCTCTTTCAGTTTGAGGTGTTAATGGACCTTCAACTTCACCTATCCCTAGGGTGATGCTACACTTAGTCTGCAGAATTTAGCACACAAGACCGGTGCTGTTCAAAGATGTGCTAACAGTGGGTTAACAAAGGCTAAGAACTGATGATATGTATGATCTTTATAATGATCTTAAACAGGCTTGGATTAACATTTGTATGTTAAGGAATATACATAAAATTCTGAACTTCTAATTTTTTTTTAAATTACATCACACATAGTTACAATTTTTTAAACCTAATAGCTGCTGTCTCCTTCAGTCTCTTCTTTAACTCCCTATAGTTTCATTGCTTATGAAATATATGTACATGTGTTATCTGCCATTTTGCTCACTGATGTTACCTGCCTGGTCTGATTATGTTCCTGTGATCTGAAGAGGGGAAGTGATAGAGTTGGGATGCGCCTTTGGTTTGGCAGACAGGTACGGGGTTTAAATCCCTTAAATTCAACCTCTATCCCTATTTGGAAACTTGGGGGAATGGAAGGTGGTAGGAGCTAATTTGGGATCTATCTTACTAGATGTAAAGAGTAAATAGCAGACTAAGGATCTTCTTGAGGCATGCACTGGACTAGAATTAGCAAAGTAGTACATATGTCCTAGTATGAAGTTTCACCTGTACTCTGTACAGTCATCTATGGCTCATTTTGTATAACAGACAAATTTCTTAGGAGGTGAAAATTTAGTTGGTGGTGGATTTTTCCTATTCAGCAAGATGATGATATTGTGTGTGTGTGTGTGTGTGTGTGTGTGTTTTGCTGGGGATCAAATCCAGGGCTTTGTGCATGCAAGGCAAGCACTCTACCAACTGAGCTATAGTCCCAATCATATATATATATATATATATATATATATATATATATATATATATATATATATGTATATATATATATATATATATATATATATATATATAGAGAGAGAGAGAGAGAGAGAGAGAGAGAGAGAGAGAATGTCAGTGGACCTTTATTTTATTTATTTATTTATTTATTTATATGTGGTGCTGAGAATCAAACCCAGTGCCTCACACATGCCAGGCAAGCACTGAGCCACTACCCCATCCCTCAAGATTATGTTGTTTAGACATGTATCTGATGGAATTACAAAGGGCTATGCTTAGAATAACATTCTATGGGCTCTTTAAGAGTAAGGGGTAGTGGGGCTGGGGTTGTGGCTCAATGATAGAGTGCTTGCCTAGCACGTGTGAGGCACTGTGTTTGATCCTCAGCACCACATTTAAATAAATTTAAAGAAAGGTATTGTGTTCATCTACAATTAAAAAGAAAAAAAGTAAGTGGTAGTAAGTAAAGCCCAGGGGTGCACACCTATAATTCCAGTGTACTTCAGAGGCTGAGGCAGGAGGATCTCAAGTTCAAAGCCAGCCTCAGTAACTTAGCCAGACCCTGTCTCAAAATGGTATTTTTTAGAAAAATTAAAATAAAGGAGTAAGTTGTAGTGATTTGTTTGTTTTCTAACTAAAATGAATCAATTATTTTCAGAATTTTCAAATGCTTTTTGAATTAATGGAGAGTCAGATAGGTAATAATGATTCAACTCCATTCCTGGTTTTCAAGTATCCAGAGCAACCCAAACTTCCTCTTTTATAATAGTAATCCCCCTGCTAGACTGTAAGCTCCACAGGAATGGGCATAGTATCTGTCTTATTCTTTCCCTGATCCCTAGTGCTTACCCATTGCTTGATTTGGTCTGAGATGCCCGATAAACTTTTCTTAAATTAACATGTGGTGCTGCTTGGAGGTTTTCCTAACTTCTGTTGCTGGTGGACTTGTTCATGCCTGTATATTTGGCAGTCTGATATGGCAGATTGTTTATATTGACATTACTGTTGCACCTATCACTAAAACCCAAACAAAAAAACTTAACCAGAAGAGCCTTGAGTTATATGAAAGAAGCTTTCTTGGTTCCCCTTTGAAGCTAAAGTCAGTGACTGTATAGGAGGTAGATTCTGGGAATGACAAAAGAGAACCTGGGGGGGGGGGGCCTCCATTTCCCTGAGAGTCATCTGAATGGGAGACCTGATGAAAGTGGCAGAGTTCCCTATATTCCCCTTCCTTGCCTCAGGGCCTGGAGGCATGAGCTTTGCTTTCTTGTGCTTTGTTTGTCTTGACCAGTATAGAGAACATTTTCTTTATTATCAGATGTGGAAGCCAGCTTCCATCTTGAGTTGGACCCATTTTTCATTATCCATTTATAAACATTATACTCTCTTCCACCAAACTATTATTCTGTTCTGTTGTGTTTTTATTGAATACACTCAACACAACATTTTGTTGTCCTTGGCATTTTGAGCCTCTTTTAACTTCATATGTGCACTTTAGGTTCATTAATAGTTTCATTTTTATTCATCTTTCTGCCAAAGCTTTAATTTGAACTTTCCAGAGAGTTTCTGTCATATATACCAAGCACATTAGTACTTCCTTCAGTAATGCCATTTTTCTTTCTCAGAAAAAATAATTGTCTGCTCATGATGGTCAACAGAGAATTTTTGTCATTAAGCATATCTTTATTTCTGAATAACCCTTCCAGATTTTTAGCAACAGTCATAGTGAAGATTCTGAAATATTTTATTTGCTATTGAAAATTCCTGTTATTCTCTCCTTCCTTCACCTGTGACCCTGGAGTTGCCTTTAAGCTATTTTAAATAGTGTAAACATTTATAACCTTTCTACTCAAAGGAGCCCTCTTTGATCTCTGCAACATTATAAATGGAGATTCAGTGGAATCTGATTTTTTTTTTTTACTATCCCTGGCATTTTAAGGGTTTTGTTTGCAGTCCTATCCCTTTTACTCTTTCCCAGAGAAGAGTAGGTGAGACTACCTCTGTGCAGCAATGCCTAACCATCAGGCCAGACAATTCATTTAAGTGTCTGGAACCTAGAAGTCGTAGGCTATCTGAGTTGTGTGCTCTCAGGTTGCACCTTTCCTGTATAAACAGTGGAAGGTACATGCAAAAGAAATTGACTGGTATATTTTCTCTACTTCTTTTGTGTCTAACCAACTTTTTTTCAAAAGAGACATCTTTTTTTGAGAATTTATTTATTTATTATTGTTGCCACACTCTTAGATGGAGTAGTTTATAGGGAAAATGCAACCTATATAGACTTGATTTCTTTGTACCATCTTAGAGACTTTTGTGTGAATACAAAATAATATGTTTTTTTAAATTCTTTTTTAAAAATTATTTATTCTAATTTGTTTTCATGACAGCAGAATGCATTTAAATTCATAGTACACATGTAGAGCACAATTTTTCATGTCTTTGGTTGTACACAGAGTAGAGTCTCAACATTCGTGTCTTTATACATGTACTTAGGGTAATGATGTCCATCTCATTCCACCATGTTTCCTACCTCCATGCCCCCTCCCTTTTGTCCTATCCAAAGTTCCTCCATTCCTCCCATGCCCTCACCCCTACACCTCCACTATAGATTAGCATCCATATATTAGAGAAAACATTCGGCCTTTGGTTTTGGGGGATTGGCTACTTCAATTAGCATGATATTCTCCAACTTCATCCAATTACCTGCAGATGCCATGATTTTATTCTCTTTTAAATGCTGAATAATATTCCATTGTGTATATATACCACATTTTCTTTATCCATTCATGTGTTGAAGGGCACCTAGGTTGGTTCCATAGTTCAGCTATTATAAGTTGAGCTGCTATAAACATTGATGTGGCTGAGTCCCTGTAGTATGCTGTTTTTAAGTTCTTTGGGTACTGAGGAATGTGATAGCTGGGTCAAATGGTGGTTCCATTCCAAGTTTTCCAAGGAATCTCCATACTGCTTTCCAGATTGTTTGCACCAATTTGCAGTCCCACCAGCAATGTATGAGTGCCTCTTTCTCCACATCTTTGCCAACACTTATTGTTGTTTATATTCCTTTTTTTAAAAAAAATTATTTTTTAGTTGTAGTTGGACACAATACCTTTGTTTCACTTATTTATTTTTATGTGGTACTGAGGATCGAACCCAGGGTCTCGCATGTGCGAGGCGAGCGATCTACCGCTGAGCCACAACCCCAGCCCCTGTTTAATATTCTTAATAGCTGCTATTCTTACTGGAGTGAGATGAAATTTTAGAGTAGTTTTGATTTGCATTTCTCTGATTGCTAGAGATGTTGAACATTTTTTCATATATTTGTTGATCAGTTGTATATCTTCTTCTGAGAAGTGTCTGTTTAGTTCCTTGGCCCATTTGTTGATTGGGTTATTTGGTTTTTTGGTGTTAAATTTTTTGAGTTCTTGATATATCCTAGAGATTAGTGCTGTATCTGATGTGCATGTAGTAAAAATTTGCTCCTATTCTGTAGGCTGTCTTTACCTCATTGATTGTTTCTTTTGCTGAGAAGAAATTTTTCAGTTTGAATCCATCCCATTTATTGATCCTTGATTTTATTTCTTGTGCTATAGGAGTCACGTTAAATCAGTCAGGGCCTAATCTGAAATGATGAACCTCCTTTTTCTTCTACTAGGCTCAGGATCTCTGGTTTAATTCCTAGGTCCTCGATCCACTTTGAGTTGAGTTTTGTGCATGGTGAGAGATAGGGGCTTAATTTCATTTTGTTGCATATGAATTTCCAGTTTTCCCAGCACCATTTGTTGAAGAGGCCATCTTTTCTCCAATATATGTTTTTGGCACCTTTGTCTACTATGAGATAATTGTACTTATATAGATTTGTCTCTGTGTCCTCTATTTTGTACCATTGGTCTACAAGCCTATTTTGGTGCCAATACCATGCCGTTTTTCTTACTATTGCTCTGTAGTATAGTTTAAGATCTGGTATAGT